AAAAAAAAAAAAAAAAAAATGCAGGCCAGAGTCCCTGCTCTGTCACTCCCTAATTACTTGCCTTCCATATTTTCAGTTATTAAATAAGGATAATCATTTCATAGGGCTATTATTAGGATTAAAGAAAGTGTGAGAAGGCAATTTGAGACAGAATGGACAATTTCTGTCACGTGCTACTTGTACAGCCTTAGGGTAAGGTGACCGACCATATAGCTTTACTTTCCTGGTACAATTCCAGCTCATGACTGCTGTGCTGGCTAACGATGTGCCAGTTGGGTCATACAATCACTCCATTTTGGGCAAAAACCAGCACCTTTCAAGGGTTTTGATCCCCCACCAGTACCATAAAGAGTTTCTTCTCCTTCCCATGTTACATGACTCGATAGTGTCACGTCTCCCCTGGGCTTTCTAGCTCACAGGCCATGGAGGGAAGAAATAACTATATTTATTTAGCACAACGAAGAACCAGCTACTTGGTTAGACCGTCACAACTCATCCTTCAAAATAACACAGTGATGGTAACTACCATTTACGAAACTTTTTTTTCTCTTTTTTTTGAGACAGAGTCTTGCTCTGTGGCCCAGGCTGAAGCGCAGGGGTGCGATCTTGGCTCACGGTAACCTCTTCCTCCTGGGCTCAAGCCGACCTCCCACCTCAGCCTCCCATCATGCCCGGCTAATTTTTGTAATTTTTTTTGTAGAGGCAGGGTTTCCCTACGTTGCTCAGGCTGGTCTGGAACTCTTGAGCTCAAGTGATCCGCCCGCCTCGGCCTCCCAAAGTGCTGGGATTACAGGCGTGAGCCACCGTGCCCGGCCTCATTTATGAAACTCTTATCTGGCAGGCAATGTGCAATGTGCTTGGCATAAATATCTCATATCCTCACAATAATCGTATAAGGAGGAAACTCGGATTCAACCTCAAGATAAGCATCAAAGCTCATTTTAAACCTCATTGCCCTCTGCAAGATAACTATACAAATGCTCCCCGATTTATGATGGCTTGCTTCCTGATGAACCCATCGCAAAGTTGAAAAATCGTAAGTCAAGGCACCCTAAGCTGGGGACGCCTGCACCATGCTTTCAGAGGTGAATGTAAAGTGGGAAAAGGGGCTCAGTGATTAAGCGGCTAGCCAGGATTCCACGCCAGGCCTTTCCATGTTTATCAGCTGCTTTCAGAGGTGTGGAAGCCTCCGAGAGGGTCCCTGGGGTAAGATGGGCTGAGCGTCGCCGCCTTCTGCGAGGACACCAGCCTTGAGAGAAGAGAGGAGATAAGGTGCAAAGGAAGAAAGGCGGGGACGCCGCGGTGTCAGTCGCAGCGTGGGCTCCTTAAGGACAGGGGCTGTGTCCGACTAGGCTCTGAATCCCCAGCGCCTACACAAGCTCTGACACAGCGTACACTCAGTAAATATGGAGTGAATCAGTTCATTCAATGAATGAACGAATGAATGAAACGCCAGAGCCCGCCACAGGGGTCTGCTGCCGCTCCACGCCCGGGCCTCTCACCGGCCAATCAACATCGTGGCTCGTATGCCCTGCCCCCTGATGCCGCGCCCATCACTCGCCCCTCTGGATTCCCTCCGGTTGCGTGGAAATCCCGGAGCAGTGGATTTCCCAGAGGCTCCTCCGGTAGCAGTGCGCATGCCCCAGGGCCGGTAGCTGAAGCATCATTTTCCCGCGGCGCCTAAGGGACGGATTAGAAAGCGATTGGCTTAGGGGACGGAAGCCAAGCTCCACCTGCCTGACGCCCGGCTCTTCTCGCAGAACCGAAGGTTTATTTTGGACCGCCCTTCCCCAGTACCACTCCCACCCCGACGTTGGTCCCAATCGGAACCTATCCCAAACAGGGCTGAAAAGAAGAGGGGAGAGACCGGAAGTGACGCACGAGCGCGAGCGGAAAAACAGAGGCCCAGCGCCTGTTGCCGTGGAAACCGAGCCCTCGGCTTGCGTCCCGCGTGCGTCACAGCTCCGGCTGACTACGCCCCGCGCGCGGCCCCGAGGCCCTGCCCATGTTGGTCAGGCTGGTCTCAAACTCCCGACCTCAGGTGATTCGCCTGCCTCAGCCTCCCAAAGTGCTGGGATTACAGGCATGAGCCATCGTGTCCAGCCTGGTCTC